CCCTCATAAACCAACATACCCACACACTAACACATTGGGTTTGTGGGCTAGTTAGATTATGATTAAAGGGGTTTGTGTTTTTGCTATAAATGTATGTCACATGTTCTTGACTTTTGTGATGTGTGTTTTTGTTTAATCACGAATCGAAGCTTCCTGGGTAGTTTCTTGTAAATTGATCACTGCTGATATCTATTTAAAGGAGAGGAAGTTGGGCAGTTTAGATAATCTCTAGAACCAGTTCTTTAAGCTTGTGAATTTGGGTTTTTAATGGTACTGAAACGATCAGCTGGGGAAGGGGGTGAAGGAGGTTCTGAACTTCCGACTCGTGAATTTAAACGCCAGCATTTTCTTGCAACGTGGGTGGATTAGTATTTGTATGTTTGTAGTTGTGTTAGACGATTGAATTCTTGATTTGTTGATTTTGTTTCTGTTATACTTGGTACGTGCAGTCTTTTTGGAGAGTTGGAGAATAGTCAGGCTGTTGAAGAATTTGTGCATAAATTTGAACCCTTCTTCCGAAATGTGGTATGATCTTTTGTTCTTTTTAAGTCACAATCAACGTATTTTTTATTGTATTGAAGAAGATTTTACTTTTATATTTGTGAAATATCACGTATTTGTGGCTTTATGCTAATAAATGAACCTTATGAGTTGACAAGATTTTGATGATTTCAAATATTTCCCTCCTGTTTATACTCTTGTGGTTATTCCTTCATGAAATTGAAGTTTGGTTGCCACACCTCAATTCTTTCACATAAATTTTGGAAGGTTTTGCACTTTTTACCAGTTAATTTTGTTTATCTAATAGATTCTTCATTTAAATGTTGTTTTCCAGATAAGAAGTGACTGAAATGCACTAGTTAGAGCACATATATTGACTTCCTATATTCACTATTCTATTGTCTTAATAGGTGCGAGAAGAGATTGAACGTGCAATCCAATCATTTCTGAGGTTAGTTCATCCATCAATTAAGTCTAACTATTCTATGCATCACGTATGCTTTTATATTAAAAAAATTGTTTCAATCGTCATGTTGCAACCCATTTTAAATCAGTAATCTAAAGCGTTGCTATAATTATATCTTGTAGACCCTCACAAAATCAAATCGAGAGCTCTGGATCAAGAACATGGCAGCTGTGTTTTGATTGTGAATTGCCGGGTACCATTTTCACAGGAAATAGGATACTATCTGAGGGCGGAAGACCCATCAAAATTGTTCTGTATGATTCTGGTTCCAAGACCATAATAACGTCTGGACCGTTGTCTTCACTAAAGGTCAATGTTGTTGTTCTTGATGGTGATTTTAATCCCGATGATCAGAACAACTGGACAGAGAAAGAGTTTGTGAGTAAAATTGTTCCGAATAGAGAAGGAAAAAGGCCGTTGGTGACTGGAGAATTGGCAGTCCATTTGAAAGAGGGAGTAGGTTATATTGGTGAAGCCAACTTCACTGATAATTCAAGCTGGAGTAGGAGTGGGAGATTTAGGTTGGGCTTAAAAGTGAAGAATAATTCCACTATTAGGGAAGGAATAAGCAAAGCCTTCAAAGTGAAAGATCACCGTGGAGAGTGTAAGTATTTCTTCTGAATCATTTTTCCACTATTAGTGAGCGTGTGATTAATGAAGAGGATGATTTATTTTTTCTTTTTTAAATTCTTGAAGCTTTTTATAATAATTTCCTTGAGTTTGATATTGGGAGTAAGATTTGGGTAAACAAAATTAAACTAAGTATTTGTTTGGTTGCTAAGCTTAGGATGTTATGCTTCTAGTTGAACCATTGAAATTTTAAGTGACCTATATTTGCAGTTAAACGTGGACAAATTATTTATTGATATATTTTCAGTTAAACGTGAACAAATTATTTATTGATATATAATTTTTTTTAGCATACCAGAAACACTACCCGCCATCCTTGGACGATGAAGTATGGCGCTTGGTAAAGATAGCTAAAGACGGTCCATCCCATAAAAGGTTGGCTCAAAATGGTATATCCTCTCTCAGAGACTTTTTGAGGTGGTACGCCAGAGACGAGTCTTCACTACGCACTGTAAGACACTCATTCATGATATCATCTTTGAGACATTAAATGGATAGGAATCTGTGTTCTTCACAAGTTCTTGAGGGAAACCGTCTAAGAGAACATTTTTAATCTGTAGATACTCAACATCTCAAACAAGAAGACATGGGATACAATCATCGAGCATGCTACAACTTGCAATTTGGATGACAGCTTGTACTTGTACAGTGGTGCACATGAAATTAGACTTTTCTTCAACTGCGTCTATAAGCTTGTAGGAGCTACTTTTTATGGACAAAATTACATCCCCTTTGAAAAACTCAATGCATATCAGATGGTTGGTATCTTCATCCTCGACCTTTTTTATGATTTTTCTTTGTCTGGCTCGAGTGGAATGCTTTTGTTTCAGTGGCATGAAATTAGTCATTTCAGTAATTGTTATTTTGCCTATGACTATGCCGATGTCAAACATTTGAGAATTTAATGGCCTGTGCATGTATGTTTTAATAAGTACTGCATCCCATTTTAGCAGTAGCAAATGTGCGGCAGAAAAGCCCTTTTTTGGTGAGACTAATTTGACATTCTAATATAGACTAATTTGACATCCCTATTTTGTGGATAGCAAGTGGTGGAAAATCTGAAGCAGCATGCTTATAGAAACATAAAGGACTTGGTGCCTGTCGATGATCAATCAGCTGGTGGCTACCCGATGCTATTGCCGAGTGTGGGAGCAGACAATCTTAATTATACTACTACATATGTGCAGAATGCTAATTTCCCAGTTCAACAAGGTAACTTAACCATTGAACCCTTCTCTCTGTTGCCTTTTCTTCTCAGCCTATAAATTATCTTGAATTTGACTGAAAGAAATTTTTTCTTCATGTATCAACTAGAAATGCAGATGAACCCTGCTCATCCAACAACTTCATTACATAATTACAAAGTGGAACGAGAATATAGTCCATTTGAAGTGTCTTTTGGAGAGAGTTCTTGTCAAATGCAAGAATTTAATTCGACATCTGGAAACAATTTTGGGATGAGTGATTCTCAAAGCGAATCCTATATGGGAGCAGATACTTGGGCTTCTGGAGGTAATTATGTGGGCTCGTATATGTCAATTAATGATCCAAGTGCCGATAATTTTCTGGTTGAATCCTCAGCATTCCAAGGGAATGAATTGTTTCTGGGTTCAACCACCCAAGAAATGGGCCCTTTCTCTTCCAATCATGGAATTCGTTTCCCCAGGAACAGGAAGCACAAAACAAGATGGTGTAAGGTTCTGGCTGTGGTTAAGTGGCATTTGATTAGGAGGAATGTTGCTGCAAGAAAATGGAAGCAACTCTACGGCCATATGTAAATTTATATCATTCCATCCTTAGAAAAATGACCACAAAAGCATAAGAGTCGAGCGCTTTCTCTAGCAACAGGTTATATCTGTATAATAGTCTATATAGTGAGAGTCGTAATATTACCCTTTGCTGAATTCCTGTAAGTGCAACAAAGGGATATTGTATAGAGTTTCTTGCAAGGATAGTCGGGTTTAGATCAAGCATCCGTGAAGATTTGCCTGTGGAAGGAATGGCAAGTGTCTTTGTTAAGCTTCCGGATGCTGTCTTGGTCGATCCAGTACTTTGTTGTATTGTATTGTTGTTATGTGGTCTTTCATGCATCAAATGTTTATTTGTATTGTATTGTTGTTATGTGGTCTTTAATGCATCAAATGTTTATTCGTACTTGTAGAAAGTGCAGTTCTCACATCTTCATCTCAGAATAATATTTCCTTTGTAAATAAGTTTTTTTTAAATAATTACTTTGTACAACTAATCTTTTTCACACGTCTTAAATTTGTTTTCTCAGTGGGAAGAATGAAGAGCACGTTTACACAAATCAGTTTCAAATGCAAGCTAATATCCGAAAGCTTAATGGTACGACTGGTCTTAAACATATGCCCGTGTAGCAAATTGGTTTTCCAACTTATAAGAAAAGAGCAAGATATTCTACACTTTTTTATTATAATTTGTACAATCAATCCTCAAACAACAAAACCGTCTACATGTCTGTTACGTCATCATGACCTATATAAGTTTGACTTTATTAAGTTAGATTTCATTTTCTAACTTAGATTAGCGTCTAGATTTGGAAGTGATACATGATTTGTGAGGATCGCATGCTGATTTAACAATAATTTAGAACGATTTTGTTGTTAGAGACTAATTTTGCAAAGACGTCCATAGCTAAATTCTATAACTTTAAAGGTAATTTCTTTATGATTTTATTTTATGAATACATGAGGAATTGAGCTGGCTATAGAAATACATATACACGAGGGATTTATAAAAAATGGACCAACGCAATTACTTAGCTTTATTTGCAACTAAGTCCCCTTTATTTTGGCACTTTTTGTCAAGATCCAAGCGTTACACTATAGTATAGGATTTTGATAGTAGATATCGCGATTTTTTCAGCGAATTTCTCATTCTCGATCGATGATGGAACTTTTGGAGTTTTCTTGAAAATGATCTTTATTGTGGTTAAATGATCTAGAATTTCATCGATTTTTATTTGTTTACTGTCCTAATATAACGTTTAGCGTAGATTGAAAACTTAAAAGAGTTTAGTCAAATCTAGACTTGTCTCATCAAATCGATTGGATTCAACTCATTTACACTTAGGGAGAATGTCATTTGTACAGAAGTTTTTCCACAGAATTTGGGCAAACTACTCTCATGTGAAACTCACCGTGAATAAAAAATTGTCAAAAAATACGCCCACTCACCTCCTATATGTGTGTTCTGACAGGCTTCTGTATAAAGCCTGTCTGTACACACAGCACGGTTGTACACTTAACAAGTGACCGCAATTTTCGTTACAACTGAATACGGTGCGGACTGAGACGTCACAATCACATGAAGTGCTCGAAAAAGAACAAGGAAGATGATGCTTTCGTGGCTTCCAATATTTGTCCAAATATTAACAAAGTTCAAAACCCAAGGCAATCTCCACCGCCCAAGAGTGTAACTTTAAGAAATAATTATAAAAAAGAAAAAATATTTGATTGTGAGTGAGATAAATGGAAAGAGTGTTGGCTAGTATGTTAATTTTTTCCTATGAATTTCCATGGAGTATTTATACGGGACTAAAGCGAACCGTACTTATGACCTTTCAAACTTTTTAGACTCGTATTGACTGTTTATAATTCGATCATGACAATAAGTTGATCTTTATTGTATTTTGTTTCCCTTGTAATGACTTTTGCAAACATGGAAATGGACCCCACACCATTTGGTATAAAGTATTGTCGAACTTTATCCAAAAGTTGTAAATGATTGGTACAAATATAATTCACCTAGTATCACTTAAAATCAAGCTTGGGAATCGACCTCATACTAATCTAGGCCACTCCATTTTCAAGTGTGCTCCTGCATTACCATGCGGAGGCAAGAATCCTCAAATATTCCGTGGTCTCTCCAAATAAGGCATATCATGCGATGGGAATATGAGTTACAATGTTCTTGTCTTCTTTGAAAAATCATGCAAGCCCCTCTTTTATCCGCTAAAGTAGGTGTTGAGCGATCGGAAAGATAATTTATTGAAGGAAAACAGGCTAGCCATTTGCTTCACCTATCGAGGACGACGAGGTTCATTCCCCTTTATGTAGGCAAGAGGTTTTCCCGCATGCGAACCACCATAACAATGTTTCATTGCATTTTAACTTTTGACCTTCAACTAATTATCACGTCTTATTTCTGATGATGTTTTCTTTCCAAATATTCTATCAATTTTCATTACAATGACAGATAAATATTTTTGTCAAAATTTTGTATTTATTGTTTATTTAAAAATAAGAGAGATAAATAAATCATTTTTTTTTTCTATCCTAACATTTTTTGGATGAAAAACCATCATCCGAGATAAGACGTTCAAATTAAGAGAATGTTGAAAATGTATGTGACAAAAACAATGGGGACATAGGTGCAAATATGAGTAAATGTTGTAAATATTTATTTCAATTACATGTTGTGATTAATAAAAAATGTGATTTGAATATAATGATCCAAATAGTTATACTGTAATAAGTTAAAAATATTTTTATTGATTTACAAAAAATAAGATAAAGAATGTCAAATTGGAAAATTCAAAGTTTTTTCTTATTATTATTATTTTTTTTCTAGTTAAAACTTTGGATCAATTTTATTCCTTTTTTATAATATTTTTTAACTTGACAGAAAAGAGTAAACTGAAGAATTTTTATACTAATAAAGGAGGTTTCACTTATTTTAAAATCTAGATGTTGTGTTTCAAAAATTATTATGGATAATCATATTTACCCTATAAGTATTGTTTGTCGCACTGTATTTTAATCACAAGTCTTCAAACATTTCTCATCGTCAAATTTATGTTCCAAATTTTTATCATATTTATTCTTGATGACCAATCCTATCCAAATATTACTTTAAATCAAGGAACAAATATTTTATCGAACATTTGTATTTGCTATTCATTTTGCTTATTCAAATTATAATGGACAACATAAGTTATGTTTATGTCATCCTCAATGATATATTTAAAGGAACCATCATTGAGATAAGACATAATTAATCTACGATAAAAATGTGATAAAAAGTTAGAATATAAGTTAAAAAAAAAAAAAAGTGAGCAAAGGTGAAGACTGTCAAACGAAAGCTACATATTTAGCATTTATTAGTTGCTTGAATTCAGAAAATTAATTAATATTAATTGACTTATTTAAGCAACAATAATTTACTTCAAAGAAACGCAATTAAATATCCAAATGAAAGTAACTTTATTACACAACCAAAAAGTCTTGGCACCCACCAAACAGTACGCACGAAAAAATCTAAATAGATAGTCCTTTTTAACTTACCTAATCTACCCTCATCCCAATAAACACATTTGATTGGTAATTAAGTACACAAAAGGGCAGGATTGGGTAGAAAGTCTAAACATTGGTGCTACGTTTCGGTTTAACCCTCGCATTGTTTCCATGATCACGTGTCCTCTTTCTCACCGTTCGATTATCAGTCTCCTGCATCATGTTGACCAAATCCTCACCGAACAAATCCACAAATGTTTTCTGAAGATCCTCTAGACTCTCCTCCTTCAAAAATATAATTTACAAATTAGAACAAAATTCATTGAAACTTAGAATTTCGATCCTTGAAAATGTAAGAGATTCCAAACCTCAGCCCCAACATTTTCCTCCATTATATTCATCAGATCATGCAGAAAATCACCCATGCCCTGTATCAAATACTATGTTAGATAGAGACTTTTTTTTTTTAACTTCGCACCGACGATATGTTTTTATTAAAACATCGTCTTTATTTGTCTACAATAAAATTTATAGGAAAATTTATAATTCAGACAAGTATTTGACGAAAAACCAATAAAGTAGAAAGTACAATCTTATATGCACAAAGCACAATGAAATTTTTCTGAAATGATTCAGCTTTAAAACAAAAAAGAAAAAAAGAGGATTTAGGGAGTGTGAAACGGCGTCGCATGTTACTACAATGGGAAAAATCAAAGCCGGGAGAAAATATCTTAGATATTTATACTGCGCACCTCATCCTCCTCAAACAGATCGAGGAATCCGGCGTCGTACATTGATCTCTTCCCCTGATCAGACAGCACTGCCACCGGCCGCCGCCGCAGCAACGGAAATATTCAACATGAAAAAAATCACAAGAAGTTAACATAACATTTCGCTGGATTATTAATAGATTATACCACGTTGATCGATTCTGCATAAGAATTTGTCAAAATGAATGAAAAAAATTTACTCCTTTTTTTTTTTTTTTTGAATAAACCTGAATAGGCTTCTTGGATTCTCTGGAAGCGGCGTTTGTATTCTCCGACGTCCGAAGAGTTTTTCGAACACCTATCTGGATGCCATTTCTTTAACAACAAAAAATCAGAAAATTGGTCATATTCATAATTCATTCACAACGGCAAAAATAATTCATTAATTGGAAAACGAAGGCTTATGAAAGGTGGAATTACCAGGGCGAGCTTGTGATAAGCAGAGCGGATGTCAGAGAAGGAGGCATCCCTGCGAATTCCAAGCACGGAGTAATAGCACGATCCTTTGGAACCTCCTTCTCGATCCATACCAAATTCTTCTACCGGGAATCCAAAATCTCAAGTTTGAGAAAACTGTGCCACGATTTAAAATCAAAGGCTGCCGAACACGGACAATCAGCAATGAATTGTGCTTGCTCAAGCATACATAGATTTTAGCAAAAGTTTTTGACACGAAAGCAAAACAATGGACGTAGCTGAATTAGGAGAAATTGCAAATTTGTAAGGAAAGAGTGGCAATGTTGGGCTGAAAATATCTGGCGCAAGATAGCAAGAGAGAATCTGACGCAGAAAGAAACTTCCAGACGTTCGGACTTTAGAGGGTGGAGAAGATATTTTATTGAAGGTTTTAGAGTTTGACCCCCAGCGTGTACAAAATTACGACGGTGGCCATTGGGTTTTCTCATTGTTACACGCACAAGCTCCCCTCTTGTTTTCCGGGTCGTGGACGAAAGGTGTGATCCGAGTATAATGGGCCCCGTCAAACAAACAGAAACGGGTGATCACATTGGATCCGGAATTTTGACAAATTTTTTAAACTTATTTCTCATCGAGGAAATTATACCACAACAAGTATTTAAATATTACAATTCATAAATCAGATATCAAATCTATTTGTTCAAATATCAATATTAATTTAATTCACTACTCGAACCATAAATTAATTCACCCTCCAACGTTCACACCCAAACCCTAATTATATTCTCCCCCCTACATTTCCTCTTCTTCCCATCCTCTCTCTCTGTCTCTATATCTCCTATAATACATGGTTGTCGTAGCCAGAGGCCACACTGGAACTCGTCACTAGAGCAGTAAGCGGCACTCAATGCGATTGTGCGGCTACGATAGCGTTGTGTCATGGGCAGATCCGTGTGCGATGGTGTAGTGGAAGCAGCAGTTGTGTGGTGTGATGTAGGCGATGATCGTGTAGTGGTGGTCATTTTGTTGTTGGCAATGATGGTGTAGGTGGCAGATCTTTGTGTGGTGGTGTGGTGCACGCGATAGTTGCTTGGTAGGGGTTGTTTTGTTGTTGTTGGCGGTGGTTGTGGTGGTGTTGTGGAGGGGGCAAATATGCGGGTGATGGTTATCTGATGTGCAGACAATGATTGTGTGATGGTATGGTGCAAGTGTCGGTTGTGTGATTGTGGTCGTTTTTGTTTTTGTTTTTGTGATGGTTGTGGTAGTGGTGTGGCGGTGACAAATCCGTGGGCGGTGGTGTAGTGTAGACTACGGTTGTGTAGTGGTGGTCCTTTTTGTTATTGTTGTTGGCGGTGGTTGTAGTGGTGTTGTAGCGAGGGCGGGGTGGGAGAAATTAATTTGTTATTTGTGACCAATTAATTTGATAATATGTAATCAATAAATAAGTTGTGACGTATAATTATGTACATGTGATCATTAAGCCCTTATTTAATTTCTATTTTTGGGATAAAAATATATTATGGAATAGTGATTTTTTGGAGAATGTTTGGTTAAAAGGTAAGGAAAAGTTTTTGAAATATGTGTATAATTATTTTATAGAAAAACGTGTGTTAGAAAATGAATTTAGAAGAAAAAATGCATTCTTAAAACAAGGGCTAATTATATATTTGTGACCTTATTACATTTAATTAAAAAAATATTTTTGATTAATAAATAAATATCTGCATTTTTAAACTTAAGACCTAAAAATTGAGCCCCCGTTTGGCTCTCATTTTTTTCTCTCTTATTTTCAACCACACAATCTTTTATAAAATAATATTACACACAAATAAAAATCTTTTCATTCTTTTTCAACCACGCATTTTTAAAAAAATACTATTCCAACCATTAAAATTTGGAAAGAATGAGGGCCAAACGGCGGAATTGGTGATACTTAATATTTGATTTATGATTTTTTCCCCCTTTCTCATTTTGTTAACAAAAGATTGAGCCCTTGTTTTGCTTGGATTAAAATTCATTTAAAATTTTAAGTCAAAATCAACAATTAATTTCAACCGCACATTTCATTAAATTTTATCAAAAAATCTACTAAAAATCTGATTTTAATCTCCACAAAACAATTGCTAAGTCTCTGTTTACCCCTTAATTTAAAAAAAAAAAAAAAAAAATCTCTCAAACTCATTGTAAATCATACATTTATGAGACCTATAACTTTTATCAAAATTTTAATCACGTATATCATCGTTTTGTTGTCAAAACTTCTTAAAATTTAATTTTTAGTCAAACCAAATAGGGGCTTATCAGACAGAAATCTTGCTATTATGGCGATTTCTATGAGAAAGGAAAATGGAAATATTTCCTTAAACAACGCCAATTGGATATCAAGCTTAAATGATAGAATAATGTTATTCATCATAACTAGTGCTATAACACTAGTTTAGGTGACGTCACATAATAGACTCAATGAAATGTAAGGTGACGTGACTATAAGTGACGCTAAATGACTCATTTAATTATATATTTCATTTAATATCACATTAATGTCACATAGAATAATGTTTTAACGTCAATAGTGCTTAATGGCATTACTCTATGTGATAAGCAGCTGTTTGCCATCAGCCTTAAATGAGGAAACTCCCACCGCATGCACATTAAACGTGTGTAATGCTTGGGTTACAAATATTTATATAATTTTTTTTTTGATTGATTTCTCCAGTGGTGGCATATTTAATTTTGTTCATCATGTCAAGACACTTCGCCATGTCAAAGTGCGACCTCTGTCGATTAAGTTGTCGCTATTTGAGGTTTTGTTATGCAAGTTTATTGGGCGATATTCAGAATAACATGAATCTTTCATCACGGTACATTTAGTCTTTCATCACGTCAGGAAACATGTCACCCTATCAGAAGGCAACTTAGGTCGATTAAGTATTTGCTGGTCGTGATCTGAATTCTTTGGCCAGAAAAAGTCTAGCTATTGATTTGGATGTTCCTCACTCACAAGAAAGTGCAGGGTTCTTTTACCTATAGTTTTAAAAGCCAGCTGATTAGCCTAAAAATCCCACAAACTAGTTAGCAATACCCCCAATTAATTTCAATTGGATAGTTTGCAAGTGAACTTATCAAATTTTGGTCTAATCGTAGTTTTGTAGTGCACTTCTGACTTGGTTCGAACCAATTGCCCAATTAAATTAAAGCGTTTTAAAAATTCATAGCAATTGGATATGATCATGAGACCTCTCGTAATAAAAGTTTCATGCCAACCACCAACCCAACACGTGATTTTAATTAGGGACAATTTTGTAACTACCATAATTTAAGTTTACGTTTTTACAAATAATAAGGATCTGTTCGGTAATGATTATAAGAATTGATTTTTTGATCGTTAGAAAGAAAAGTGAATCATACTTGTGAGAGAAGAAGTAAAAAATAGTGGTTGAAATAGTGAAATATCGGGTAAAAAATTAATTTTTTTTAGTGAAAAATTGCTATAAACGAGTGCTAAAATTTGAGAAAACTTTGCAAGTGCATACAGTCTGTAATGTGACATTGACGTCTTTGTGGTATGTTTTTCTACTAAGTTATGATGAATATGTACCAAAAGGATCAGGTTTGGCATATGTTTCGTCCTCAAAGTTGTGTCGAATGTGACTTGTGTTTTCTCGAAATTATGTCAAATTTATAGCGTGTGACCCATAAGCGTTAAATTCAGAAAAAATAAAAATATGACACATGATTTGTTTAATTTGGCATCTATCAATTCCTCACAAGTATGTGAAGTATATGATTTTTGGTGTACTTACTATTTAAAAATGCATTCTTATGAAAATAATATAGCTCAAACAAGGGCTAAAAATGGAAAAATCAGGTAATTATTTGTTCATTAAAAATATTTTATTAATTAAATATAATAAGGTCACAATATACAATTAATAGTCATAAGTACATAATTATAGGTCACATATTATCAAATTCGATGTCACAAATCTAAAATTTTAGAGGTCACAGTTTATCTATCGATCAAACATTTTCAAATTTGTTGATCACATATTATCAAATTTTAAGATCACAATTTAATAGTTAGTTACAAAGAATCAAATAGTTGGTCACATAAACCAAACACCCAACCCCCGATCTCGTTCCACCACCAATACTTGGTCACAAATTCATCAAATGGTTGGTCACAAACACTCTTCATTCCATCTCGTCACCGTCGCAACTACCACCAACAATAGCAACACGATACTATGACCACCATATCACCACCACCACCACCAACCAAATCTGAACCTATCGACCAAGCACACACCACACACTGGCAATGTCGTCGCCATGCCCCCAACACCATCGCACCTGCAGCACACACCCACCACCACCGCATCCAACCACACACTATCAACACCACCACCAACTAGATCTACTGTGGTCTTTGGTAATGGCGGCCATGTGTGATGGAGAGGATGGAAAGAAGAGGTGATCGCAGTGAGCGTCGCTCATTGTTCCCAACGACGAGCTCCAGTGTGGTCTTTGGCGACAACAGCCTTGTATGACAGGGAGATATAGAGATAGAGAGAGGATGGGAAGAAGAGGGAAAGTAGGAGAGAAAATAATTAGGGTTTGAGTAGTGAATGTTGGCGGGTGAATTAATTTAGGCTTTGGGTAGTGAATTAAATTAATACCTAATATTTGAACAAATAAACTTGATGCCCGATTTATGAATTGTAATCTTTAAATACTTGCTGTGATGTAATTTCCTCGTCACAAAATAGGGTGTATAGCTAAAAAGCCCGTCAAAGAATAGTTGGACACTCCAGTTTGATGAGAAAAGCCCATACCTTACTTCACTTTTGGGATTGAGGCCCGAAAGGTTGGGTTCCCTTGAGGCCTTTGTTAATATAACCCAAGCAAAAAAGTAGAAATTTTTGCCGGGCAGCTTAGATACCCAACCAACACATTTCACACTGGATGCGTAAGAGGTGACACTCTCTCTAGGGTATTTGTTGTCAGCTGAAAAAAAAAAAAAAAAAAAAAAAAAAACACATTTTGATTGCCAAACAAGGTCATATCAAACAAGTAACAAAACATGCACAAGCTAAAGATTTTCTCAACCCATCGAATTAAGTCTTTATATCTTTTAATTGAACTTTGTCAAAAGTAGTATTCTTCATGAAAATCATTAGTGAATCTTACTTGTTTGCTTTGTCTAGCATTCTCTTTCAGTTGGTAACATGCCTTTCATAGTTAAGAATATTTATTTATTTTTTAAATTTGAGATATAAATTTAAGTATTTTCAGGATTAGAGGAAATTTTTCTTAAAAATTCTCTGAATTGCAATTTGAAACAAAATCAAATCGAAAATTATGGTTTAATTTGCGTATTGAAACAATTGATTTGATTTGAGATTTGCAAAACTGTTTAAAATGGTTTGGTTTGGAAAACTCTCAAAAGCACTAAAAATCGAACCGTTTACATCCCGAATTTAAGTTAAAAATAACACCGAATTTTTTAAATCGAGACTGTGTAAACTCAAATGATAACCTTGCGAGTGTGCTGACCAAAGAGTAATAAATAATGAATTGCAGATCGAAATAAATAAATAGTTATCCAAAGAGATTAGCCGATAGCTAATTTTGGAGATTGCTGAGCGTAGTTTCTTGCTATTTCACCGGATGTTCTCTGTAATTTCAAAATTGATAATAGTAGTATAAGAGAACCATTACAGCTGTGACTAAACTAATAATCTTACAGTCGATGAGATAGCAAGCAATTCTTCCTCTGTAACTTTTTTCCAGACTCCATCGACCATCAGGTGACCCCTAGCCTCTTTAGAGAGAGTATCATTCTTATCGTAAGATTCACGATCTGCTTCATTCTCCTTCACTTTCTTAATAAATGCGCTATCCAATTCTTCATTCAGACAATCAGCTTCCCTTTTACCACACTGATTTAGTCCCCAACGCACCTCGCCATCTGATACTTTTCTAGCTTCTCTGGGTTTGTCATTGCAGTCGAGAACCGAAAGACGGCCAGAGAAGCCAAGATTGTGAGGGAGCATGCCTATAGGACATGGCTTCCATGACTTTGTAACAACCCATCGGCTATTAACTTCCACATTGGAGTCTGTAGGTTTTACATCAGTGCCCTTCGTTTGAAGATGTCTGATCAACTTGGATTTCTCTTCAGCTCGACGAATAAAATCTTCTTGTTCGGAAAGAAGAATCTCATTGTGAGAATCAATGGAGTTTTCATCGCTAATGTGGGAATTTGACACCCACAGGGAAGCCATCTTTTTGAGCTTACAGAGTAGAGTTGTCTCCTGTCATCTGTGGAAGAACAAGGACCGAATCCATCAGCTTTTTGTTTCCAGGACAAAGACAACACAAGACATTTGCGTAATAATCCTTGTAGGATCTCCTTTGGCAAGCTTGATTCTGCCAGAGAATCTTTACATTCTATATGTTCCTTGTAAAAGTCGGGATATAGTGTCTTGAGATTTCCAACAAGCCACTCAAACAAATAAGGAAGTAGCTCAATTTGGCGAGACTTCGCAAAATTATCCAGATTGTGATCTTCCCCTGATGATCCATAAAATGTAGATTGATGCTACCAAAAATCATACTTGAGCAATTCTGAGCTGGATGACTGATGACGAGCACGAATGTGATCTTCCGGTACATGAAACAAAGGCGTCGAGGTGTGTCCTCATCGCCTCTCCGATGCTTAAGTCAGAGAGAGAATTTGTGCGTAAGCCTATGAACTAAAAATTATGTAAAACGTACCTGAATAATGATTAAGGGCTTTGTATTTATAGAGGTAGGTGGTGTGTTCATACTAGGATTCCGTAGTGCACTTGTAATAGGACAGCTTGATTTTGCAATCTTATACCAATGAGTCCTACGCGAGATATGAGTTTGAATTGTGGTATAACCGGGATACCAATTATTTAATAGAGTTCTTCTGGGCATAGGAGACATAGGTTGAGGAGTTTAAGTCAGAATAAATTTCTCATTGGATAAGGCATTGACGCCGAGGACATGTCGAGGTCATAATCCCGAGAACACGTCGAATGACGTTCCACAAACTCTTGGGTCAAGAGCTCGGGCATGTGAAAGACATCCCGAGCACATATATCCCGAGCATACTGATACACAAAATGACGAAATAGAGTCCTCGAGTTTGTATACGTCGGGAACAATATTTGGTAATATCAGTGGCCCCCGTGCACCTGTGCTCGATTATATGCATGAGGATAGGTGCAAAAGATCAAAATTACAGTCCTCGGTATAATACCCCTGACAATTCATTGTAGAGGAAAGATTCGTGAGGGCTGACATCAGATGTGGTAGTGACGCCAGCCCTAGTACAAAGGCGGTGTAACTTTTAGACCCTAGGATGTAGGACACGTGGCATGATCGAACGGTTCAGGATGCGACTTTGGCCTCCCACCCATGTTTCCCTATATAAGCCTCATTTCCTATTCATTTTTTACTTTTTTACTATCAGTAAGCCTTGTTGGAGTCGTCGGGATAAGGTGAGTCCTCAAGACTTTAAGTTGTTTGTTTTTAGAAAAGTCTAAATTTAAGATAGGATGTCAAGCAGTGATAGTGATACGTCATCCTCGAGTTCGGGAACCCCAACCCAGGACTTAGGGCAGTCAATAATACCTATGGCCATCCCCATAAGTGCTAATCCTCGAGCTCAGAATATCTCGACACTGTTAGTATACCCCGACCAACCGTGTAGGTTTAAGGAGCACTTAATAGTGGTGACTGCTAGGGAGTTCAGCCTGATGCCGAACTGTGATATTAGATCTCCCGGGGATGAGGATAGGGTAGCTATTGCTCGGGAAGGAGAGTTTGTCATTTTTAAAGATTCTCTGAAGGGGGATTTAGGTGGCCACTGCATCCTTTTTTCCTCGCACTTTCGACCGAGCATACTATGAGTCCGGGATAATTAGTGCTGAATGGGTGGAGGATGTTGACACATTTTTTTATTGCTTGTAGATACCTCGGGATTATCCCGTATGTCGACTTATGTAGGATGGTCTTCGACCTAAAACAACTCCCCCAGTACTCTTGTTTTGCCTATCTTTCAACCCGAGGAGGGTTTAGAATCCTGAGGATGCCTAGCTCCCTGAAAGGATGGAAGGATAAGTGGTTTTATGCTATACCTCAAGATCCCAATGTTCCCTTTAGTCCTCGGTGGGGGGGGTGCCCGATACTGCTAGGTTTTGTTGGGGTCAGGCGTATTTTGAGTCGTTGGAGAGGCATAGGCAAATGCTAGAGGAGCCCCTCGTTTATGACTTGGATGATATCCTTGAGCTTGCGAACATGAAAGGCATCGAGGGTAGGATACGCGATTTTAACGCTTTAATTTTTCGACCTATATTTTTATTAATACTCGTGCTAATAACGTGTCATTTTTTGCAGAAATGACGTTTGACCCAAGTGCCCTTCGTCAGGCAGTTTGCAAGAAGTCAAGGGCTCCCTAGGCTTGGGCTCCAGGCCAGAGGAGGGGCCAAAAGAGACCTCAGGATTCGAGGCTTGAAAAGCAAACCAGTGGGCCCGGTGAATCATCAAGGCCCCGAGGACCGTCCCTGGGAGTAGGGAGGATGGAAACTCAGCAACAAGATCTTCTGGGGACTCCTCGAGGGCCTCATCCTTGAGGACCTATTGACATGGTCGACCTTGAGGATGAATACCTGCCACTGGGCCCTACTAATCCCAAGGGATGCTCTCGGTGTCAGTCCGTGCTCAGCATTGTTGACAAGAATGGGCAGACGTCGATTTAAGCAATGGCTTGAGGGCTCTCGAGGCTATGGCCTTGAAGGTAAGATTGTTGACAGTTTTTATTTTTATTATTTTTTGCAATCTTTACTTCCCGAGGTTAAGTTGCCCGTGCTCTTTTTTTCCAAACATTGGGCATAGCTCGAGGTCTTTCCTTAAAGGGGAAAGATGAGTCTTCAAAGATGGCCGACCTCGAGAGTGCCATTTTTGCTCGGGATCCGAGGATGGCCGACCTCGAGGAGGAACGTGCTCAACTGATGAGGGAGCGCGAGCAGATGAGAAATGATCTTCGCAATGCTCAGGATGAGGCCGGTACTGCAAAGGACGAGGCTGAGCACCTCAAACTCGAGCTCGAGCGCACTAAAAAAGAATTGGATTCAAAGCTGGCCGATGCTCGAGATGATGCGATCGAGGACTTTAAGAAGTCTGACGTCTTCAACGAGTTGAAGGGCGAGTATGCTATGGGCTCATACTTTCATGCCTTGAAGGAAGCTTGAGCTTTTATTCGCCTGAGGCCAGATGCTCGCCCTGAGGATCTGAAGTTGATTCTTGAGGTGGCTGATGACCTTCAGCTTTCTGAGTCTGAAGAAAATGCTAGGGATGAAGATGTCGATATTGAGGGTGACGATGTCAAGGAAGCCCAAGGCAGTCAGAACACCGACGTCTAAATTTGATCAGTCCCCGAGTATTTATTTTGATTTGTAATTTTTGATGTAAAATGCCTGATCTTAATGGAAATAGTTTTTCCTTTTTACCGAGCTCATTTTGTGTTATCGATGCATTTTTATTTCATCAACATATGCATCGGACTTTTGTTAATTAATATCCCAACGACTGAGAAGAATTAATTATCTCGACGACTAAGAAGATTAATTATCTCGACGATAAATTAATTATCTCGACGATTGAGAAGAAATATTTCGATTTTAAGCAAGTCATAATGCTGAGGATAGTGGTGAATGTTGGATATAGTTTAACACTTGACGGTAAAAAATATCCCGACGTCTAAGATAAATTAATTCTCGACGATTGAGAAGAATTAATTCGATTTTAAGCATGTCATAAGGCCGAGGACAGTGATGAATGCAGGATATAGTTTAACACCTTGATGGTAAAATTATCCCGTCGTTAGTATTGAATTACCTTGAGGACTAATCGCGAGGGGGTGGTAACCTCAAGGTGTACGAAGAATTGTGACCGACCTCTGTACAAAAGTATATCCCGAGCTTTCACTTTGGAACCTTACACAAAAATTCAAGGATAGATGGTCGGGGATGTATGTACTCGGGATGTTTACTTGTGCTGCATGATTTTGATGTGCTGATTATGGGCTCCAAGGTTTTGGTACTTGCACGGGGCAAGGCTTAGGTGCTTGTGCGGGGCAAGGCTTAGGTGCTTGCTCGGGGTAAGGCTAGGTACTTGCTCAGGGCAAGGCTTTGGACTGCTTGCTTGAGGGCAAGGCTTACATTGCTTGTCGAGGACAAGGCTTAGGGTGGCTTGCTCGAGGGCAAGGCTTACATTGGCTTGTCGGGGATAAGGCTTAGGTAATTCCTGGACGCAAAGCAAACTATAGGGCTGTTATACCCGAGGTTTGAATTTATTAATTCCTCGGACTGGACTCGGATTTATATTGTATCCAAGCTACCTACGTACCCAAATGGGATCAAGCCAAACGTAGTTCATTACAAAAGAAAACGAAAAACATGCATGGGCACGCAGGCCCGTCAAACTAGAAATAAAATGCAAGGGCACGTAGGCCCGAAGAACCAAAAATAACATTCAGAAGAATTAAAAATGCAGGAATAAAAAGAAAATTTCCCAGATGGCATTGAGAATGTTACTTGTAATATATTTTCGGATTATCGGCATTCCAGGGCCTTGGAAGAGGTCTACCCGAAGTGTCTCTTAGGCTGTATGCTCCTTTGCAAACCTATCGTATGACCTCAAAAGGTCATTCCCAGATGGGCTCGAGCTTCCCTGGGGAATGACCCGCTGCTTCGGCCCTCCTCAAGACCAAG